GGATGAACGACTTGGAGGCTTGTGTCAGGTGGGCTGGACCTCTCAATCTCAGTGCTTGGGGGTGAAGAGGGTGAAGCGGATGAAGGGAAGGCCCAGAAAAGTCCCAGAGGCCACAGCCGGTGCTCCAGGTGACAGCCATACAAAGACCAAGACTTAGGCAGGCACTGGGAAGGCCACAGAGGCAGAGAAAGGGAGAGTGAGAAGAGACAGCCTCTGATGCCCTGGGAGGCCAGGCATGCCCAGGACGCCACAGGCCTGGAGCTAGGCTGCAAGCTCTGTTGACCTGAGCAACGTGCTGGGTCCAGAATGTGCTGAGCTGGCCAGGTATCATTTTGTAAGAAGCTAAGGGAGCACTCTCTGGCACAGCCCCCACCAGCGTTCATGTCCCACCCCCACTCAGCCCACCTAGGCCTTGGCCTGGCCCTCCCAGCACCTCACTGGAGTCCAAAGTCCAGCCATCACTGGCCTTCTTCTCCAATCCCAGCCCAGACGGCCAGGCTCTTGTGCATCCAGTCTGACCATTGATCAGCATCCCCACCCCATGCCGGGGCCGCTTCCAGGTCATTTCATTTAAATCAGCTATACATCTCGCCTGGGATAATCAACTGCGCTGGCGCGCTGGGCAGTCGATTCCGCAGGATTGTAGGAGGGCAAGAAGAGGGGCCAAGTTGGGGCTCAGGGCCCTAGCTGGAGTGGGGGTGGGGGAGGTGAGCAGGCAGGAAGGAGCTGATTGACCTGTCTTCCCTCTGGCAGGCTGCTCCTAGGGCTCAATGACTTTGATACAGATTTTCCCGGTTTCGAATCCCATTCTGCCAGGTTAGGTTTCCAGTGCCAATCCCAGATTGCCATTGTTTTTCTTTGAGGGAGGTAGCAATGAAGAGAATATCCCCAAATTGGCTGCTATTCTTCAAGCCCCTTACATACTAGAGAAGGCTGCCCCGGGCCTCTGTACCCAGGGGAAGCTCTGAGGCGCCAGGTGGAAGCGCACTGTGCTGGGGTGCATGTGAGCCAATACTCTGGCACAGCAGCAGGTGAGGAGCTGGCCCAGGGCTGCCTCAGGCCCGACAGAGGGGATGGATGGTTAACGTGGCAGCCTTCTTACCCAGCCTGCTGAGGCCCTCTTGACAGTACACACCATTGCACCCTGCACAGAAGGCACGGTCTGCACCATTCCAGGCTGCAGGAGCTGCGCATGGCAGCTGAGCTGGCTTTTCAGCCAGCAGGGCTTCAGGCAGGCCTTGTCCTGGATTCTGCCCCACAGCCCCTAGGATGCCGACTATCTTGCAGTGGCTTTGAGGGACCCAGAAAGAAGACTGGGCACACAGCTGACAAAAGGATTTCTGGAGAGAAAGGGGCCTCTTCCCCCTCACTCTGATGTTTAAAGAGGCAGGGGCCAAATCCAACGTAATATCCTCAGTGGATCAGGGTAAAGGGTAGACTGGGGAGGCCATAGAGCACATCTCCCTTCTACCCTTCGGTCAAAGAAAACCCATTCCTCAAAAGGAAAGGAAGGTCCACTAGGGATGGTTGGCCTGGTGATCATAGCTGCTGGGTGACTAGAACAAGGAAAGCCACACATGTCCACACCAGAATCCCATGACACGCATGCCCACTGCGCAGAAAGGCCCTGCATGCACGGAATCCTGTAGGCGTACTGGAACCGCTCCTTGCAGAACGAGGCACATATAAACTGCCCAAGCCACACACAAATACCTCCACTATAAACTATATACATGAAAACACATACTGGACACACACCGATGCACTGTACAGACATTTGCATCAAAGGTCACACATATGCATCACTTTATATGTGGACCTCAACTGCATGGAGGAAGCCCAGCATTCAGAAGTGCACACGTCTACACCACTCACAACAAGCACTCCTGCCTCTCCTGTGCGGAATCTGTAGGTAAGGTCAGCAAGGGAAGACTAGTGTTTGTATTTGTACAGACGTGGGCGGAAACACAGGAGATAAGAGAGAGTGAAAGATGACAGATAGCAAGGCTGACCAATGGCAGGTGGGTAGCACCCAGCAGGGCCTGGCTTCGTAGCTGAAGGCTGCGGTGGGGTCTTAGCCCCCTGTCAGTAGCGGAGGGGGAAATGGGCACTGGGTGCCCGAAACTTGCTTCCTCTGTAGGGTATGTTGAGAGAAGAAAGGATGTTTAGCTCCACAGGTTTGTCTCCTGCCCCCAGACAAAAAGGCATTTGCTCCCTAGTGTCACCAGTCAAGGCGTCAAGGCCCTCCCAGAAGTCACTCTTCAGCAGTGGCACACCTTTCTGTCCACCCATAAATTCTGCTTGGGCAGCTGGGTGGGGTCCACCCAGACGCTCCACACTGTCTGAGTTTCCAGGCCCAAGATATGGTCAGGATGTGACAAGCGATTTACAAAAACAAGGGTAGAGGACAGATCCCCTCATCCAGGCCATTATTGTGTGCACTGGAACAGAGGTTCAAGCTGGGTAGGACCCAGGCAGCCCCTTCTCCAAATGCCTCCCCCCCCCCCCCCCGGGTCAACACTGCCTGGAATGTGGCATCGTGAGGAGTGTTTCCCAGGGTGGCGAACACACACAGAGACTCTGACAGGCCACAGATCTCCGGAGCTCTGGAGGTTGCCTGCATGCCCTGGTTGTAAGAATGCTGGAGGGAGCCTTCTGCTTCATGCAAAGCAGGGGTCCCGGGCATCCAAGGACCCACTCGCCCACCCAAGGCACCCTTGGGTCTGGCCGCCTCTCTGTCCCACCCAGCCTGCATGAACCCTAGGGTGCTGCCGGGGACTGGGCCAAAAGGAAATCGGAAGTCACATTAGTTTGGAAACAGGCACAAAAATATCAGGCATGTTTCTTCCTAATCCTCCTTGCTTTGGAAATTAGGCTTTCAAGTGAAGGCAAGTTTTCTGATATTACCTCTTCGGCTCCTCACAGGGCGACATGGGCTTGGCCCCAGCCCGGCCCAGAGCAGCGGAGGCACCACCAGCTGCGCCGTCCCAGGGAACTGTGGGGACCCTGCACGGTCCCCACAGGGAGGCCTGGGGCCAGCGGGCTCTGGTTAGCCAAAGGAGGTGATTTTGTTTTGTTTTTGGTTTAAAATGTAAGTTGCTTCTGAAATGTCTTGGGCTTCAAGGAATTCCAGTAAATCCCCAAAGATGGGAAGAAATTTCAGGGAGAACCCAGCAGGCACGTCATCCAGTCACACTGACACACACACTGACGGTGAGAAGGGCGGTCCATTCCGATTCTAGACTCTGAACTCCTTAAACTTCTTCTACCTTGTGCTTTCTGCCCTCCCCACCCAGTCTATAGTTGCCCCCCACCCCAAAAGAAGACAAAACCTGTCAGCTGGACTCAAGGTGGATGCTTGGATTTGGTGACCTTGTATGTTTCCCCTTAAAAAAGAAAGAAGAAAAAAAAAAAGCAACAACCCAAAGACGCGGAGCACTCCCCCCATGACGCCCAGGGGCCGCCGCAGGCTGTAGCTCCTGGGGATCCAGGCCTGGCAGTTGGCGCTGAAGAAACCAGCACCCTCTCTGCCTCTTTGCTCAGGATTTGGCTTGGGTTCTCTTCTGAAGGGCTTGTTCCCATTTTCTCCCTTCCCTCCTCCAGGAAAAATGCTCAGGCTCAGCCTTCAATTTCTGCTCCAGCTCTGTCGCCAGAGCTGGAGTGGAAGGAAGGTCGGGCCGCAGCACCCCGGGGCTTTGGCACTAGGCGGACAAAAACACCAGTCTCCAGGAGTGATAAGAAAATGGAGAATACTGTATTTGCTTTAGAAAGTTTTTACATATAGATAAACACGCAGTTAAGATAACAGTGAAAGCGCCCTACGGGGAGTGAGAGATATCTCCAAAGCAGCTAGGAAATACTTGAAATAGCTTTTGCATAAGAATACTACGGTCTCACTCTCCGCTTTTGCTAGCGACAGGGTCCCTCTTCCTACCCTAGCCCCCCCCCAGCTCGCCTTAACTGCCAAGTGGACGCCTGGAACACCGAGGGGGAGAGGAACCCCCAGAAAGGAAAGAGACAGGTGAGCAGGGAGGGGGAAGAAGGAGGGAGAAGAGAGAAAGAAAGAAAGGGAGAGGAGAAAAAGCAATATCATATACAGGCAATTTCTACACATATATTACAAACTGGGAAAATGACCGATCATTAAGATATACATAATTCATATAAAATTTTGAAATAAAAATAAAAATCTGTTACAGTCATAACTATTCTTTTTCCACATTTATAACCAGTACCCACACAGGCAGTGACAGAGTGGAGAGAAAAAGGTGCTTACGAAGAAAATGATTGTCTGCTGAACAAAAAACAGAAAATTGCATCTTGTTTGACCAATACTTGGACTTAAAAACAGAGAGAAAGAAAGAGAGTGAGAGAGAGAGGAAAAAAGAGAGAGAGAGCAACAAAAGGCCAGAAACATTTGCTATTTCCCTCTCCAGGAGTTTTTTTTTTTTTTTTTAAACAAATTCCAAAGGGAGATGGCGGTTTTATTTTTTTTCTCTTTTTGTCTGTTTTGCTTTTGTTGTCTTGTCATCGTGGTGGCGGTCGGTTTTTGTATAGTCGATTCTTTTTAAATCGTTTTAAACTAGAGAGAATATTTTCCCAGATACAAATAAATCGTCATGCAGGTGGGGTGCCGGGTCCGTGGGAACCGAAAGGAGAAGCCGGGCTTGTCCTAGAAAGTATACAATTGTCACCTCTTTTATGTTTTCTGCCCACAACATCAGCGTTTGTGACTGTCTGTTGACGTCGCGGTCCTTTGGGGTGGCTGTGGTGGTAGATGGTGGTTGGGAGTTGTTGATGGTTTGCGTTAAATTTATTTTTCTTGGTTTTTATATATTTTTGGCGGGGGTGGGAGTGTGTGCGTACTTGTGTGTGTATGATTGTGTATCCTGATACAGGTTTGTTCTGGGGCTGGAGGAGGAAGAGGAGGAAGAGGAAGAGGTCGAGGAGGAGGAGGGGGATGAGGAGGGGAAAGATGGGGAGGAGGGCGGCCTTGGGTATCATACATCACATTCCGAGTCGCTGGAGGTTACCGAGAGGATGGAGGTGCCGGTGTCCGCGCGCTCCGTCAGGCTGGACACGCTGGTGGTGGGGCTGGCCGCCGTGGACGGCGACTCTGCCGAGCCATGCGTGGGGCAGCCGGGCTCGGCCAGCGAGCGCATGCCGCTCGGTCCGATGGCCTGGTGCTGGAGCCTGCAGGAGACAGAGAGCGGCGCCTGCCCTGACACAGCGGCCGCGCCACCCGTCTCCTCCAAGCCGCCTCCCGGAGCCCACGCCGCCCGGAGCAGGGCCTGCCTCCTCCCTTGCTCCCCGGCCTCCCCCACTCCACGCCCTTCGCTACCGCCCCCGACTTCACTCAGCGCTCATCCCCTCTTCCAAGCACCAGGCCGCTTCTTGAGCGCCGCAGAACCTCCCCTGCTCGGGCCTTGACTCCTCTGCTCTCCTCGGGGCTCCCTCGAGCTTCCCAAGTCTTCCCAGACAGGGGCCGGCCTCCGAAGAGGGGTGGAACCCGAGGCCGGCCGCCTGGGGAGGCCTGGGCGCACGCAGCTGAGGACACCGAGCCCCGAATAGGCGGAAGTCGGAGAGGGACAGACAGGGTGTTGCTTCCTTCCCAGCCCCTCGTACGGTTCAAAGTAAGCCGTCTGCCACGAGAGCCGCTGTGCTCCCGGCCCAGCTCCCCAAACACACTCCGGTGTAGGACTGGCTGCGCAGAGCGCAGGAGCCGGGGGAAGAGAAAACATGGAAGCAGAGAGCAGAAAAGTGAGGAAAGAGGAGGGAGAGAAAAGGGGAGGGTGAGAAGTCAGGAGGGGAGCGCAAAACAGCCTCCAGCTGCCCCTTTCCTGGGGCCAAGCAGCGGCTGCAGGAACCTAGTGTCTCTGAGCTCTCCCCACAAAGAGGCCTTCCCGGGGACCTGGGCACTTCCCCTATTAGGCGAAAACTTGGCTCCAAAGGCGGGTGAGAGGGCTGAAGGCTCAGGCCTGAGCCACCTAAACCGGAACATAGTAACTCCAGGAACTCACGCTCGGCCCCCAGCCCCCCACAGTTGTGAGCACCAGGGGCCTGCTCACTGCTGTAGGCTAGGCCCAACCCCTATCCCAGCTGGGTAGGGAAACAAGTTCCTCGTCAGGGCTTTCGCACAACTTATTCCCTTCCTCCTTTCCACCTCACTCCTTTCTCCTTTCCCCATCATCCCTTCTAGTTATTTTCCCCCTTACTTCCTCCCCAGCTCAACTCTTATGGGTGGTCAAGCCCAGTACAACTTGGTGACTCTGTGGCCAACTTGCCAGCAGCAAAACTGTTCCTGCCCGCTTTACAATGTGGTGGACCGAGGGGATGCTCTTTGGCCGAGGCAAGAGGGCTAACACACGGCCTCTCCACTCCCAGAGCGACTTTCCTGCCCCTGGTCAGGCAACTTGTAATGCTTTCAGAAGGAGGCCCGCTGCATGGTGACCGCCAGCATTTTCCCTTTGTGATAGGGACCCCGGTTCAGTTTCCTCTCCCTGACATTTGTAGACCTCTCCCCCGGTTTGCACGATGCATGGAAATAAGAACCAGATGGCAAAGAGCACTGTCCCTCCTTCCTTTCCCATTTGCAGGCTCGCGAGGAGCCCCGAGCTTGGGACCGGACTGAAGAGGTGAGGTGCTGCGGGAAAAGCACAAGGCTAAGGCTCCCAGGGGCCGGGACCAGGGGCTGTGGGTACTCAGGATCTCGCACATACACTCTCCCCGCTGACGAAAGCCCCTCTCAGGCAAAGCAAATCAGTGAACCCACAGCCCGCCCCTCTTCAGCGCGCCTGGGCAAGTGAAAACTTTCTGCAACCGGCCAGGGGGTCGTGGCTTCTTCCGAGCTCCGGAGCCCCTGGCACCTTGACCTACCTACCCGCTCTCATTTCAACCCTTCTCCCCCTCCCGGGTCCCGGAGACGGTAGCCAGGCCGCGGGGCCCCGCCACTGACCTGTTCTTGGCCGCCGCGGCGCGGTCGCGCTGCCTCCGGTTCTTAAACCAGTTGCCTACTTGCGTGGGAGTGAGGCCGGTGGCCTGCGCCAGTTCTCGTTTCTTGCTGGGGTTGGGGTAGGGGTCCTGCAGGTACCATTCCCGCAGCAGGCTCCGAGTCCGCTCCTTGAAGCAGTGCGTCTTCTGCTCGCCGTCCCAGATGGTGCGCGGCAGCGGGAACTTCTTGCGCACGCGGTACTTGTCCACCGGGCCGAGCGGGCGGCCGCGCAGCTTCTCGGCTTCCTGGTAGTGCGCCTCGAGCCACATGGCTTGCAGCTTGCCGTGGGACTCCTTGGTGAACTTGTGGTTCTCCAGGATGTGGTAGAGGTCGCGGAAGTTGCCCGTGTGGAAGGCGACCACGGCGCGCGCGCGCAGGATCGACTCGTGCTTGTTGATGGCCTCGCACGCCCCGGGGGCCACGGGCAGCGACCAGAGGAAGCGGCCCAGCCGCTCGATGTCGCCCGTCTCCTCCAGCGTCTCGCAGACGCTGGCCACCTGCTCCGGCGAGAAGTTGAGGGTGGGCAGCTGGAACATGGACAACTCTTCCGGGGGGGCCCTGGAGCCGCCGCCGCCGCCGCCGCCGCCTGCTCCGCCAGCACCGCCGCCTCCCGCACAGTTCCCGCCGCCGCCGCCGCCCGCGCCGCCGCCGCCTCCCGCACCGGTCCCGCCGCCGCTACTCGCCAGAAGTAGGGAGCGGTGGTGAGAATCGGCGAAGTTTGGCAACAAGAAGTGGGAGGAATAGAGGTCTAGGGGGGAGCGGAATACCATGGACTGACCTGAGAGGAGAGGAGAAAATTCAGGGAGAGGAAGAGAGAGGGGAGGAAGAGGAGGAGAGGGGCGCTGAGGACCAGGAGGAGGGAGAGGAGAGGGGGGAGGAGGAGAAGGAAAGGAGGGGGGAGCAGGAGGAGGGGGAGGAGGAAGGGCGTAAGGGACACCCACACCCCACACACATCCACACACACACACACCCGCGCAGCCACATAGAGAGGGAGGAAGGAGAGCGGCCCGGTGCGCGCGCGCAGAAAGCGAGCCCGAGACAGAGAGAGGGAGAGGGAGCGCGGGAGGAGCGCGAGAGCCAACCACCGCCGAGTCAAGATTCAGCGATTCCACAGCAATCGCCCTAATGACAACAGCCTCATAATATCTCCCCTAAATCCACAGTGAGTGCGGCATTGAAACATTTTGTTTCGCTTTTCTATTGGTCTGCGGCGTGTCGTTGTGGCGTTGCCACGGCAACCACTGCCAATCACTGTCAGCCCTGCCAATCAATACCGAGAACGTAAGGACGGTTTTACCACTTAGCCAGAGTCGGGGGTGGGTGGGTGGGGGGAGCGAGCGGGAGAGGAGGAAGAGAGGGAGAGGGGGAGAAAGAGAATTTTTTTTTTAATGTTTGCAACTCTTAATCGCACCACGTCCCCCACTTCTCTCTCTCTCTCTCTCTCTCTCTCTCTCTCTCTCTCTCTCTCTCTCTCGTTGTCTCTGAGTTCCCTTCTTCTCTCTTCCCCAAAGAAGTTGACCCAGAAATTTAAAAAGCCACGGGCATAGAGTTATTGAAGGGGACGAACAACTAAAGGGTGGGTGAATTTTGTAGGGAGGTGAGAGGCTCCTCGTGCTGCGTGAAGACCGAGGGCCAGCCCGAGGAGACAGGCGAAGAGGACATGGTTTGCACATGGTGTGCAGTCCGGCCGCCTCTTTCTGCCTATGTGAGCACTAGCAGTGGCGAGGAAGATAAGATAGATGAGATCGTGGGACCCACCGCGAGCTGACCCTGGTCCTGCAGGCTGCTGCGCCCCGGGATTTCGGGGGACATCTGGTGCCTGGGTGCAGGAGCCCAGAAGCCAGGATGCTGGAAGCCATTCTGGCCCCCCCCCTTCCTGAGTATCAGCCACATTTACCCCAACTTCCTCCGAACTGGAATTGGCTTCTCTTTACTGGGGCTCCTAGTCAAAGAACCTTGATTTCCCCTATTGCCCTGAATTTTAAAATAGCAGGAGAAATAACAGTAGATTTCTTTCTATCTTAAATAGCAACCCTCCTCTTTGTTTCCTCCTAGACTTCAGCAGCTTCCCCTAGGAGCTACAGAGGAGGTTCGCAAGCTGACAAGCCTGGGAGCTCACTGGACGCCCCCCTCCCAATGCCCAGTTCCCCCGCCGAAGTTGTGGGCCTGCCCACCCGCTGCCGAAGGACACTCAAACTTTGGAGACTGCCACAAAGAAGTGGATAGGCCTGGAAATTGCTTGTAAAGGAAAAAAAAAAAAACTGTCGAATTTCTCTAAGGAAAGTAACATCACAAGCCTAAAACAGACCCCAAAATGCCCATTGAATGGACAGAGCCCTCCTTCCCTCTGGTCGCTGCAGCCCCCAGTCTGGGCATGAGTATTTAGTCTAAGGTATGTCGCTTTTAAGAAGATGTAATCAGCATCTTGAGCCGGGCCTCCCTTTGTGAGGCTTCTGTAACTATGAAGTGTGATTTACGCAGATTTGTCGGGGTCAGAGACGTCTTTCCTCTGAGCACTGTGTATATTTAGACAGGACTCAGTTTGGTGTTTAAAAGTGTATATTTTGAATGAGTTCACACACAGTAGCCAACAATGCCCACATTGTCGGCCCGTGTACAACGTGTATTGAAACGCAGCGTCCAGACCTCAACTAATCTGCCCTCAATAAAGCTGACATAATTATCCTAAGCTGCCTTTCCAGAAGAAAAATCATTGAGGAATTCAAAACTTTCTTTTCTTTTTTTTTTTTAAAGATCTTTTCTACATTCCGATGCAGATCTGGGAGCGAGGTGCCGAGTCCACAGCACTTTGGAGATCTCAATGAGGGAAGAGAGATTGCGAGAGAATTTAAATGGGAAAACTAACGTGACTGGGGCTGTGAGTGTCCCAGCCCCTAAACCCCCCGAGCTGTAGCCCTCACGAGGCCTTGACTCCCGAAGTGCCAGGCCTCCTAGGTGGAGAAGCGAAAGCTGCGTTGGAAGCTCCGCAGCGGCAGGGAAGCTCTGGCCTGGGCGAGGGGGCCCGGCACTGGTCCACTCAGCCCGAGGCAGCCGAGGGTCGATGGTTTTAAACCCGAGGACTGAGGCAGGAAATTATTCGCCCAAAGGGAAGACCAGCCAAGCCCCACTTAGGGTGATCTCCATGCGTCTTCGTCCAGGGCGTGGGTCATTTTCTGCTCAGCTGCGAGGCTGGGGCGGTCGTTCACTGCGGGCCCAGAAAGAGCCCTAAGGTTGGGACACAAAAACAGACACTTCATCTTTTCTTCCCGATCCCTTTCTCTGGTAGGGGAAGGATTATAGGCTGAGGGGTGGGAGGGGGAAGGGGCAGGAGGAGGAAGCGGGGGAGGAAGGAATGAAAAAGGGAGGGGAGTGGGTATTGTGCCGCGTGTGGGGGAGAATTCCTACGGGTGGGTTTCCGAATATTGTGTTCAACTTTTTGAAAGCAGCTCGTGACCCCGAAACTGCAACCCCTGGAGCCGAGGACCCAGGCGCCGGGAGGGCGGGTGAACCCAGCCAGTCCCCTCCCCGTCCCCCGAAACCCCCGCCTCCGGGTGGGGGCGACAGGGCCTCTCCCAGCCGAAGAGCTGTCGGCCCCGGAGCGAGGCTGAGCAGGTGCCGCGGGGCTCTGCCAAAAGGGCTGAAATCGAAAACCTTCGCCACTCAAGGAGAATTGAGGCAAGTGGGGCTGATACTCAGCTGGGCGACACCCTTGCCCCAGCTTCGGCTGGGATGCTTGCCGAGCCGCTGCACCCCACCGTCTCCGGTAGCAGCCACGGCTCTGGAGTGCAAAGCCAGGCGGAGGGAGGCGGCCAGGCGCGCAGCTTTGTGTTCCGGGACAGGGCCGGGCGCGGCGGGGCGGACCCGTAGCCCGGGCTGTCAGAGCCACCCCGCCAGGCGCAGCTCCGCGCCGCCCGCCGAGCCCACCTTGCAGTCCCGCTGCCGCCAGCACCTCTCTGCTCTGGCCCCAAGCACCACGCCCGCCGCCCGGAGCCCGTAAGTTGCAAGTCCCAATAGCTAGGAAGGAAGGCGGGTCGGTCGGTCCTCGGCGCCGATGACTGGAGTGGCTCCCGGCGGATCTGGGGGCGCGGGCTTGACTAGGTCTCGGTCTAGGAGTGCTGACTGGTGTGCGGGGACAGGAGAGGGAGGGAGGGGGCGCGCCGCGGGGTGGGGGAAGCTGCGGAGCACCGGAGGATCCCCCCCGCAACCAAATCCCCAGGCTCTGAGTGTTTGGGAGCGGGATAGAAGCAGAAGGACCTCTGGTTCTGGGGCCCAGGCCGCCTTCCCAGTACCTCTGGTGCCCCGAGGAGCTGGGCTGCGAGAGGGCCGGGAGATAATCCTGAAGGGGGTGACGCGTAGGGGGCGCCTGCACCCCGGGTGTCTCAGAGGTGGGAGATCGGAATGGATAGGTCAGCCTGCGGGGCCTCTAGGTTTCCCTTGCCGTCCCGCCGCCCAGACTCCGGGATCTGGGACTTAGCGCCGGTACAGGCCGAGGTCACAAAATTGTCACCACCATCCTTGCTCAGTTCTGGCCCAGGCGACCGGAAGGAAAGCGTACAGGTGGTTCTAGGAGAAAGGGCGTTTGGGCTGGAGAGTGCCTTTCTTTACCAGGACTTACTGGACCTTTATTTACAAATGTCAGCCCCAGCCGCAGCATTCACACCACCAACCGGAGAGGTGCTGGAGACTTCCACTCTCTCCTTGTTTTGGGTTAACAGGAAAGCCAAGGAGTCTGCAAGCCTCAGAGCATCCAAGGTCTGGGGCAGCTGCACTCATTCGGCCTTGCTCTGCTCCTTAATGCCAGTTTGTAGTGAGGGGCAACGCCCCTTCCGGCGCCCTGGACGACAGGAGGCGGGAGCTGGCTCAGTGGCCTGCGGTCTGGGGCTCCCCGCAAGCTACAAACTGAGGCGTTAGGCGCTGGCGGTGGAGGAGGGCGCAGAGGAGCGCAGCACTCAGGCGGGGAGGCCTCGAAGCCCTTCAAGGACCCCGATTACTTTCCTTTGATTGAAAAACAACAACAACAACAACAACTGCTCCCTCCCTGCACCCCCCACCCCGCCCCCTGCCTTAGCCTCCCGGGACCCGCGCTCCAAGCAATTGTGGCCCGGGACAGTAAACACAGCTCAGTTGCCTCAACTTTCTCCGCACATAAAAGTTCCCGGCGTGCGGTGAAATTTGAATATTTGATCAGCCCTTTTGAGTGACCCTCATTAGCCTGGCGCCCTGCTAAGGCCCCGCCACTGCAAGAAAGCTGCTGGGCCGGCATTTGTATGCCTTGTTAGCGCCGCTTAATGAAGCCGCCCCGACGGCTCAAAGGCGGCCTCCGGGGCTGGCGGCGCGCACCTCTCGGCACCCCGCTCTGCCTAATGAGTCCCACCACCCGCTGAAGGCCCCTCCGCCCCCCACATTCTCAAACAAGAGGAGTTTGGCTCTGCCTTGGGCCACTGCATTTCCCACTGCCAGGCCCAGGAGAGTGGGCACAAACAAGGCCCAGCCCCAAGAAAGAGGTGGGGGATAAGGAGAATGGGAGCCTGATGGGTTGGGGCTTGGATTTTTGCAGCCTCAGGTTGTAGCCCAGACAGAACATGGTCAACCTGTCCCAAAATGGCCAGTTTCAAACCAGTTAGTCACCTCAGGTCCTTAAAGATGCCTCTGGCCTAATATTGGGGTGGCAGTGGGTAGATTCCTGGGGGCAGTGTCAGCCTTCCATCCCCCCCCCCTCGTCAAGTTCCTTTGGTCTCAACTGCCCAAGAGGCCACCTACTTCTTTGCAGTGATCCACTTCTGACAGCCAGAATTCGTTGCTAGGGCTTGGATTTGAGAAGGGATGCGCACACTCACTTATTCAAACCATCGTTGCCCTCGCCATCCACAGATCCAGCCAAGTGTTATGCCAGTTGGTACTACGGTCCACCCTGCCCACCCCACAGGACAGCCAGGCTCTCTCTAATCTCTCTTTACTCATGTTTCCAGTTGTTAGAAAGCCTGGAGAGAATGCTCCAGGCAGGGCCACCCTGTACAGGACCAACTAGCTGCTATTTAGTGCGATTGGGACTAAAAAAAAAAAGGCCCGAGGGAAAGGAAGAGAGGGATGGTTCTGGAAGAAAGGGTGACCAGAGCCACTAACTACTTCCCCTCTAATCGATGGAGCCGGCGACTGGTTGGCCAGCAAATATAAAGAAACCTAGCAGAGTTGTGCCACAGTCCTCTGAAATAGCAGACTTCCTTTCATCTCTGCCCCCGCTCTCCTCGATGCCCTTTTCCCTGGACAGTTGTCACTCAAGGTTCCTCCTTGCTCACCCAGCTCTTGGGCTTTTAAGGGTTACTTTTGGGGGGATTAATGCCCTGGGTTTAGGAAGCAGGCTACTCTCATAGCCACATTCTGGGCTTTCTGGAAGTCACCCCCCCCAACACATATGCCCACAATGCCTCAGACACACAGCGCGGGCTGCCCTGGTTAATAACCCTGGGACACCATTGCAGGGTGGCCACCTCTAGAAATGAATGTCACCCAGCCAGCCCTCACTCTCTGCTAAAAGGCCTGGCAGGCCCCTGGGATGGGAGAGCCTTTTAAGTCCATGCGGTCTGGGGAGACCTCTCTCTTCCCCAGCTCAACTGACATGCCTCACCCCATTTATCATCCCAGGGACACCCTACTTCAAGCCTAAACTACCAATTTGTAGGCATCATCTCTGCTGGGCAAGGCGATGTTGGGGCCTTGATTCACCTAAAAGGCAAAGGTGGGAGCCGCGAAGTGCGGGGCGGACGGTGTTGGAGAGAAAGTGGACCTGAGGCAAAGGGTAAAACTCAGCTCTGCGGCCCCAAGGCCAGGCCTACCAACTGCTCAGGGGAGGAGGCGAGGGGAGGGGGCTAGGAGTCCGCGGGCAACGGTCGGGGCGTCGGCGTGGGGGGCTAGATCCGAGGAGAAGGGTGGGAGGCGGGGGTCGGGGGAGCGCGCAGGGCGGGGGGTAGGGGGGGTGCGGCTCTTTAAGAACCACACGGCTGGCAGGAGAAACGCATGGCCCGGTGCTGGTAGCGCAATGACCCGAAGGGGATTTAGAAGGAAGGGAGCGGCCCGGCACCGGGGGCTCTGTCCGGGGCGACCAGAGAGGGCGAGGCACAAGCATAAGGAGCGACCGCGTCATGAAAGGCCGCACCGAGGCGGCGGCGCTGCTGCTTTTGACTTCTGAACAGGGCTTAGAAAGCCTGCCCGGGTTAAGCCGAACTGCCTGCGCTGTCTGCGGGCTCCCAGTCCCCGGCCTCCGAGCTGGGAAGGCGTGGGATGAGGGAGGGGGAGCACTAGAGTGGCCAGGTACCTGGCAAAGTTGCTTTTGGCTCTACAGCCGCCTGACCCTAGCGCTGAACTGCGAGCTTGACCGGCCACGCTGAGCAAGGCCAGAGAAAGACTTTTCTTTTCCAACTTCGTCTTTTGGTTTTGTGTGTCCACTTCGCGCAGCTCCGGAGCCTGCCGATCCCAAACAGAGTCTCAACAGGTGCCCGGTAAGTCCATTTAAGAACTCGTCAGCCCCTCCCCGGCCTACTTCCCGGTTTTCCCCTAGCCGCCCCAAATTCCCTGTGCTCCTCCCGCGGAGCAAGGCGGGAGGAGAAGTTTGGGGGGGGTGTAAGTGGCGCCCTCACCCTGGGTGTCCTCGGACTCCCAGTTTTAGCCCAGGACCACTGGCCGGCGGTCCCCGCAAAGGTTCACCCAGTACCCGCGGGTCCCGATCACCCTTAGCTCCGTTGTGGGCCCTGGTACCCCAAGTTGTGTGGAGGAGGGTGGAGGAGCGTCGCCGACAGGAAGGGGGGCGGGGGACACCTTGGCCAGGACGCCTTTGTGGGGGTTTATAACCCAATAGACACCCTCTTTTATAAGAGACCCAGGATCCCTCTCCGGGAGCCCGCACTAGCTTTACAATAGCCCACAGAAGAGCGCCACAGCAGCTGGGGGTGGGGGTGGGGTGGGGTGGGGGAGGTGGAGAGGCAAGAGGAGGGGGAGCAGAGAAAGGCAAAGCCAAGAAATCCGGGGTGTCCGAGTGTAAACTCGTAAAATGTCCTCAGAGCGCGCGGAAAACAGGCGTGCGTGCTCGCGGGCGCACACCTCTTTGTCACACACACTCTTATACACGCACTCACACCCACCCCACACAAGTAGCCGGAGCACGCGGTCTGTGGCAGTGCGGAGTCGCAAGCCACCGCGCCCCAGCCGAACCGGAGTGGAGCCTGCGCCCCACTCCCCGGCTGCCAAGAACCCTTCCGCCTGGCCTTCGGTGCCCCGAGAATGACTGGGGGGAGGTGGGAGGACCCCCAGGGCTGGGGCGCCGGGGAAATCTTACCTGCGGCAAGGTAAGGGAAGCCTGGAGCAGGAAGCAGCGGCGGATAAATATTCATTAGGAAGTGTGTCTCCTTTTAAACCGCGCCGGCGTGCGTTCTCGCTCCTATCTCTCTTTTCCTTCCTCCCACCCTCTGTCCTCTTGTGAGGCTCTCTCTCCCTCTCTCTCTCAGTCTGCCTCCCCCCACACACTCCTCCCCACTTTCCTGAGAAACGCCGGGTGGATCCCCGTCTAGCTAACCTGTTGGGAAGCCTGAGCAGCGGACAGAGCCTCCACAGCTGTTCGTCTTCGCTGTTGGGGCACGAGCTCCCCATCGGCCCTCCCTCCGGTCGCCCAGCCCCTTACCCCCTCCTAAATTACTACATCATTAGCTTTATTTTCCGGTGTGGGGGGTGGGGACGTGGGGGTGGTAACACACAGCCCGACCTGCCTCTCCAAAGGGGGCCAAAGCTGTCGCTATCCGAGGCTGCCCCAAGTCCATCCCCACCCCACGTTCCCAGCCCACATCCCCACCAGTCTTGTTTCTTTCCCCCATTTTTACATCTCCACCTCCGTCCTGTACCAACCCAACTCCACCATCCTTCCCTCTCCCGCCACCGCCGATCCGGACCCCCGGATGGGTCGGCAGTGAGATGCCAAGGGGTAGGTACGCGGACATCGCACCGACGTTAGGGCTTCATCCTGCATTGGGTGTGAGGTAGCTTTTCGAGTCCTCCTTTCCCACGTAGGTTTTCTAGCTTGACCCTGAGTGGGCACCTGGGCAGCTTGAGCTTAGGATCAGAACACAAGGGTGCACATCAAGGGCCTCTCCCGCCAGGCCTCAGAGTCCCCCGGCTTTGGCCCTTCGGCAGAGCCTGGAAGGCTTCATGTGGGGCGGGGGAAAGGTGGCCTCGCTCTGTACGAATGAACAGGAGAGACAGACTGACACACCGACGGACTTTCACGAACAAACTGACCTGAAGTTGGCCTCAAGCCCGCATCTTTCTCTCTCATGCTCTTGAGGAAACACATCTACAGGACTCCAGGAACTCACGAGTCCCCTCCGGGAACCGTTTCCGGCCGCCCGCCCGCGCGCCTGGGCACACCCTCGCGCCCACTCCCGCAACTCAGAGGCCTGCGCTCCCGCAGGCCTCGGGGAAGGCGGAAAGGTGGCTCTCGGTGGAGAGAGAAACCGTAAAACTCAGGACGACCGTGACCACAATTCTTGGTACCTTTCCTTCCCCTCCAGGTACTAAGCCCCTCCAAGGTCTCTAAGGGATGGTGTGGCCCCAAGGTGCTTGGGGGTGGCCGGGACGCGCGCTCCCACGGCTGGCTGAGCACCGCGCGCCGAGGTGGGGGCAGGAGGAGGGGCCGAGGGGCGGGCCCAGGCCAGTTCCCAGTTCCGAGTCACGCTCCTCAGGGAAATCCAAGGAGAGCTTCGCTCCCAAACACGCACTCCTCTCCCTCGGAGGGCCGTGACTTCCTCAATAGGGTCCTACGCCTTCCCCAGGCTCCCGGGGCTCAGCGGCCATTTGGTGGCCAGGGGTGCGGTCTCAAGCCTCAAGGCGATGTGGTGACTTCTCCCCCCATTTGGCCTGGTCCGTGTGGGCCCAAATCCACTAGGAGAGGTCCCAGAGGCTGTTTCGTCCCTTTCCGGATGTGGCTGAGGCGCAGAATCGTCGCAGGGTCTCTCCCCTGTCGGAACGTTAAGAAGTTGGGCAGTTGCAGGTGTAACAGGCCCGTAGGGCCCTGGTGCCGGGAAGCCTTATAAACCTCGCACCTCGCTTAGAGCCCCGCGCTTGCACAACGGCCCCCCCCCCCCCTCCGGCATGCGGACCAGGAGGTCGCACACATCTGGGCTCAGGCTTAAGCTGTCCCTTGACTGTACATGGAGTGTACATGCAATTGTACATGAATAGACAGGAAAAAATGAGAACACTAACAGCAGAATTTAAAGAAAAAAGAAGTGCCCATAGGCAGAATCATTAGAATGCACGGCCGCAGACCCAGTTGTCCAGAGGCAGACAAAAGCTGCGGTGGCCGCGGGGAGTGACCCCAGCCACACGGGCAGATGTACAGGAAGCCACACACCGGGAGAGAGAGCCGAGCGAGCGAGGATTCAGGCCACCAGGCCGAGGGCTTCCTGCTAGAAGGATGTTGGGTCCTGAGGGGGGAAACTTTGTTGAGCCGACTGAGGGAATGATCTCAGGTCAAATCCTGGAGACTAGAAAGAGCACCTCATCTATCCCAGAGGCGACCCTTTCACCTTCCTCTCAGCTGGGCTGGAGATGCCCAGAAGAAGGCAATCCAAGAAAGATTCATTTTGACCTGGATTATTTGTTATTATTAGGAGACTGCTTTTTGAAAGAGAATGGGGTGGAGAGCAGAGGCTGTGAGATTCCTAAATCCTAATGGGAACGTTTGGCCCTAACGGTTCAGAGAGGGGGAGGCTTATACTGCCCTTTCATTCCTCTTAACCTAAATTTAGTCATCAAAAAGAATCCTAGCTCTCAGCGCCACACCCCCTTGCCCTTACTTCCATTCTAATTCCCTTTATGGCAAATAATATGCAAAAGGACACTTTAAAGCTAACTGAATTATTTGGTTTATTAAACTTTTTTTTTTTTTTTTTTTTTTTTTGGTGAGATATTGGGACGGTCTCACTCCCTACTCTCCCATTCCAGGCAGAGCTCACTGTCCCCACCAAGCTGGGGTGTGGCTATCTCCCAAATGCCTGAGGAAATGCACAAGCTCGTTTGTGGTTTCAGTTTGTGGTTTTTAGTTTCCCTGCCCAGTCTCAGTGAACCGTCCAGACAGTAGCCACTATGGTTTTCCAGCAGAAGATGTAGGCACATTGGATACAATGGAACCTTCCCTTCCACTTCACCTCCCTCCCCAACGCTCTCTTTCTGAAAGTAGAGGGTAAGTTGAGGAAGAATCTTTTAGACAAGAAAGGAAAGAAGGAATGAAGGAAGAAAAAAAGAAAAGAAAACAAGGAAGAAAAAAAGAGACAGGAGTTTCTGAGGCAACAGCTTGGATGAGCATCCTTCAAGGAGCAGAGAAAGATTCATCTTGTAAAGAAGAGACAAACCATGTGGAAAGTATGGCAGGAGGAGAGTTTAAGTGTATATAGTTGCCCTAGAAATGAAAGGGTCGTGGGGTAAGAGTAGGAAGAATTTCTTCCCTTTTGGAGGCAAATACTGTGCCCCACCCCAATACACTTAACTCTTGGTAAATTTAGCAAGAGTTTATTCTTGTAGCTGTTCTAAACAATAAAGAGGGAAGAATAACTTTAGAGTCAATTAATCGTCCTTGGAAGGGCAGTTTCTCCCAAGACTTTTTTCTCTCCTCAGGTTTGATTTTTCTTTTTCCTTAATAAGGTCCATTTGCTGACACACCTGGGAAAGAGAATGCAACAGAAAGAGAAATGAATAAGGAGACCACACTCCTAAACCCAAAGTGTAACTTCGATCCTTGGAGCTGAGATACAGGACACACGTAGGTAACCCTCTTTACCTCGGCACATTGCTCCCTCTTTGGGTAGTTTATTTAAAGCCTTGTAAATAACAGATAACATTCAGCATTTTAGAGTGGGAGACATCTGCTATGACTGTACTTACCAATTAATTCTACAAGATTCTTCAAACTCTGCTTGTCTGATTTATAAAACTGTACACTCATAGCTAAGCTCCTTGCAACATTTATCACTCAAGCAGAAAAGCAGTTCATTTTCTCATAGCCCCAAATATGTCAGTACAGTCACTGGAGCAAATTTTTAATTTTTATTTACAGCTGACATAAAATATTATATTAGTTTCAGATGTCCAATAGTGATTAGACACTTGTATAACTTACTAAGTGATCACCCCAATAATGGAGCAATTTTTTCTCCCTGAATTTCCTACATGCCCCTGTCACCTCTGAGGAGCCACAAGGCTCAGGACAGAACCACAGGTGTTTGGGACCTCTTGTGTAGTTGTTAGCTTTCTTAAAGATTGAGTGAGTTTGTCTGCCCCCACCCCCACTCCGCCTCTTTCTGTCGGCCCAAAATAAGCCAACTACAGTTATCCCTGTCGTCCTGAGCAGAAACTCCCCTCTAGATAGAAGCTAACCATTTCCGCAGCATTGGGCAAAGGTGACCTCGAGTCCAGGGCTGGCATGAAAAAGGGGAGGGGGGAATGCATGTGGGGGAGGAGACGACCATCATCTTCAACAGCAAAATAAAATAACCAGATACCCCTTATATCCCTTCAATCCCTTCTGTTAACAGTATCAATGCGCTGGAGAGGCTGTCTCACCTCCAAAGGTGTCTTCACTCGCGGAGGGCCCAGGCTTCCATCCACAGACCAACACTGGGCCCACACGCCCAAGAGGAGTTGTTCTGACGGCAAAAATCCCATACATTTTTAACTACAGTGATTACTAAATTAATAGCAGGCACTAAGACAGATGTCAAAACGTCTCGAAAATGTTTATCTGTGAATAATTGAGAAGGTGGTGGGACGCATTATCTGATTGTGTAATGAAATATGTATGAGGAACAGCTGTTTGCAACAGTCCCCTCCCGCCACCTCCTCAGCCGGGGCACTTCTCTGCCAAGCAGGAGTCGATGCAAAGTTGGTCGCCCACTTCCGTCCACCTCGGAACCTGCTTCGTGCCCCCTGGGCTGCTGGCTGAGCTGTGGTTCCAGCACGCCCAGAGTCACCCGGTTTCCTGACGGAGGATATCAGCATGGAGTCATCCCTCGGCCACAAGCTTTTCGTTCTGGGGGTGGCGTGAGGCTTCGCGCCTTCGGGGCAGGCCACGGAGTCGGCCTGCGAAGCCCAAGGAGAGCCCGGGCCCGGAGCCCTGGCGTGCGCCCGCCGAGCTGTGTGGCCCGTTCGGAAGAGAGGACCCGGGGCTCTGCGACTCAGCGGGGCGGGCCTGGGGTCACCGCAGGGTGATTGGGCTCCCGAGCGGGCTTTGTTCGCCGCCCTGGCCGCACTGCGCACTTCCTTCCAGCCCCGAGCCAGCCCCCACTCCGAGCCTCTGTGCGGGCCTTGTTTGTTTTTCCAGCCCTGCACCCTCCACCCGGACACGCCAGCAGCCCTCGGGGCGACGTCAGCGGCTCGAGGCGTGGGGCCGAGGCTGGTGCAGGAGCGCTGGCCCCGCAGGAAGCGGAGTGAGGGGGCTAAGAGCTCTGGGGCCCCTTCTGGGATTTGAGGGCAAGGGTCAGCCGGCCAGGGAGGTGGCCTAATGGGCGCGGGGCCTTCGGGCGGCCTGCGCGGGGCACCGGCCCGGCCCCAGCCCCGGCCCCGGCCCCGGCCCCGGCCCCAGCTCCAGCCCGGCTGGAGAGTGGCGGCGCTGTGCGGCTAGAGGAGCACGCCGCGAGGGGCCCCATCAGGCCTGGACCTTAGCGGTGTCAGCAACCCTGAACACCCGGTGGCACGCGTGTGGGCGTGCTGTCCCCTTCGCTGCATTCCCAGCGCTTCTCATGGCGGTGGAGCCGTGTCCTGCAGCTGGACCACAGGCCTTCCCGCACCCCTCTCCTCCCCGCCCCGCCTCTGCGGCCTCCTGGCCCCTCGCCTTCCCGCGCCCGGGGAACCATCCCTCGTTCCTGGTGCCCAGGAGGCCTCGTCCCGCAGCCTCCGGCCGCGCGGGCCCTGCAGGCGCCGCCGCCCCTGACCGCTGCAGGGCCGGCAGCGGAGGAGCTCGGCGGGCGCGGCGCTCGGGCGCTGAGCGTCTACACGGTTCCTGCCGGCTGACTCGAAGTCGAGATGCGCTCGGGCATTATTTCTCGAGCGTTCCCCCTTTTACCTAATCCCTTATGCTTTTATTCTAATCCTACACATTACAGTTAATCTGTAATGATACCGCTTCCGAGGAACCTGTTGCATACGAAGCACGGTAATTTGTAACCTTGGAAACAATTTTAAATAAAGATTGTAACGGTGATGTCAACTGTGTTTATTCTCCGCGCGGGGGGTGGTTGGGGGCCTGGCCGTCCCTGGGCGGAGAGGACGGAGTGTCGGAAAGAAGGGAGAGAGGCGCGG